CTGACTTTGTTCTGGGAGGTGATGGAAGATTAAATGGTTAGCGTTACCAGGAGGAAGGAAGTCAAGGGAAACAAAGACAATTCCTAAAATACCAAAATAAGCCGTTTTTTATTGACATATCTTACTACAAAGGAAATGTTGGAGAAACGGCATTCATATCGATCATGACATGCTACACAGTTTTTTCAACTAACCTGGAAAACAAGTACCTCCCTGTGAGGCTCCTTCCTGAAGGTGTGCGTTTATTACTGAAAGGGTGCTTCTCAGGAAAGGCTAACCGATACGGGAATCCTGCTGGGGATGTAAGCTGGATGGGCTAACATCAACATTCCTTCAGTTCCTAAAAGATATCATTTCTGGCATAAAACCTGACTCCAGATCTACACAACGAATACAGAGCAAGCTTCTAAAACACTAATTGGGAAGTATCTTACTCTAATACCTTCATGTAGTCCCTGTTCTGTGTACCACTTCTACCATAACATTAGACCAAAAATATGGCTGCCGTTGATACACTCCTTTTAGTATTTTGTTGCGCAACATCCTTCTTGTGACCTCTGAGAAAGGCTTTCATCTGCTAAAAGTAGGTTTTAGAGCGACCTCCTGTGATCTTCTACTTATATCTCAGGCACTTCACTCTCCTGCTGCTATTGCCTTCCGAGACACCTGCCTTAGAGTTAAAGAACCTGCCCGTAACGGAGTTTGGATTCTATGTTGCTCTGTGTGTGTGTGTGTGTGTGTGTGTGTGTGTGTGTGTGTGTGTGTGTGTAAGGGGGCAGGGTGGGCAATATTCTCCTCTGGACATTCATTCCCTTCTGGAAAATGTTGCCACCCCTTTGGGGGTTGAACAACCCTTTCACAGGGGTTGCCTGATTCATAATAGTAGCAGAATGATAGTGATGAAATAGAAATGAAAATTTGGCAATTTTGGATAATTCTTAATGACACACCACATCCTTCAATGTGAGCAACTGCTGGAAAACACCAGCAGGAGAAAGAGCTACACGTACGTACGTATCTCCGTGGAGAAAGGAAGACCTCATGAAAGAGGGAAAAGGGAAGAGGGAAAGAAAGAGTATAGGGAAGGGGAGAGCACTGAGCGGACAGAAAGGGGGAATGAAGCGAAGGATACTATTTAGTGAATTGAGTATGAGAAACAAAAATGCATTTTTCTTTCTTATCCTTTTCCCTGGGTCTGTTCTCTCATCCAACCTTCTTGTGATTGTTTTCTCGACATTTTCAGGGAAGAAAACAAACTGGCTGACAGCTTCTCAGGATAATCTCACCTTTGTAGATGAGGAAACTGGGGCTCAGAAAAATCATTTAATTTTTCCCCAAGATCACTTGGGAGTTCAGTTCTCTAATCAGCTCTGTGGTGTGAACAATTGGTATTACTACTTAAAAATAAAAAGACAGCAAATTACTATGCCTACTTCTTTCTACTCAATATTTTGGGGTGTCTATGAGCCCAGAAGTGTATGTCCCTTTCATTACTTAATTCTCCCAACAGCTCTGTGAGGTTGCGAGAATGCCTACTCTGTGCACACGAGTTGACATGATCGTGTAGATAGAGTAGAACCGTCCCATAGCTTTTCAAGGTTGTGACCTTTCAAAAGCAAATCACCTGATTTGTTTTGTGAGATGCTTCTGTGTCGGTTTGAATATAAAACTATTCAGTGAGTATAATTCTACTCCTTTTACAAATAGAGAAACCAAAGCTCAGAAGCAATAAATAATTTCCATAATGGTCAAAGTGGTAAATCAACAAAAATTCAGATGGAGTCTGCCTTCACTTTGTGGCCCCATTTCTACTCTCATTCTTTTTATTTCTTTCTACCTTTCTTTTTCTTCTCTACCTACATGTTAGAGACCAAAGCTAAAATTTCACACATGCAACTGAGCAGATGCATTTCCTCTAATAAGCAGACATTTGCAGACAGCACAGACATATGAGGAAAGTAAAACAAAGAGAGCCTGGTGGAGAACATAAAAGAAGGAGAGCCCTAGCCGCAGGAGAGTAAAGAGTTAAAAAAAAAAAAAGCCACCTTTGTAGATGGGCTGTAAAACGGGTGAAAAGTATGTTCTCCAATCAACCTCATATCCCTAAAAAGTGTTCCCTTGGTTTATCTTGTCAGAAGATGGAAAATATTTCTGCTATGGATTTTAGCAGGTGGTCTTGATATTTATCCTCTTTCCTGGAGCTGCCCCCAAACCATAAGGCCTTTTAGCAAAAGAGGTCAAAGTGGAAAAGTAGGATGCCCCTTCATAAGAACCAGTTCATGTCAAATGCTACTAAAAGGGAATCCGGCTTACATTCTAAACACAGCATTGGCACTGGGATTCATGCTAACCTAGTACAACCAAGTTGCATCAAATGGTTTAAATTTAAGGCCTTCATGCTTCATATAACTTAATAAGAAATGGTCTAGAGACAAGAAGAGGAAACCTCCTCTCAAAGAAGAAGGATACAAATGTCAAAAAAATTGGGGGTTCTTACCAATACATCTATCAATCGCACTGCCATTGACTCAATTTCAACTCAGAGAGACCCTATAGGACAGAGTTGAACTTCATCTTTGGGTTTCGGAGACCATAACTCTTTATCAGAGTAGAAAGCCTCATCTTTTCCCCACAGTCCAGCAGGTGGTTTCAAACTGTTGATCTTGTGGTTAGCAGTCCAATACATAACCACCATGCCACCAGAGATCTTCTCATAGCTCCTTCTATCTCCTTTCTTCCCCCATGTTCTCCTTATTCTTTCTTACCTACATATTTTCCCCTGCACTTGCCATTATTTAATTCCACAAAGTAAGTTCTAACCAAAACTAATTACTGACCTCCAAATTGCCAGGGGAACTAGAAGATGAAAAAGAAATTCTTTTTCTTCACTACTGTATTAATTGTAACCAAACCTTTAAAGCCTTGGAATCCAAAATCTGTTCCCAAGTCATGGTCAGATCTACTCTCATAATGAGTGCGCTTTCTAATATATCATTAAAAGATTGGTTGGGGGGGGAAATAAACCATGAAAAGTTAGAAATTGATGGTGTTTTGTTATATAAAATCAGCTATTGGAAAAATGAGTGCCAAATAAAGTGGAGAAACAAACCATATGTCACAAGAGTAGCAGTAATTTAACACAGTGAAATTGAAGTATGACTTTTATCTGCCTGGGGAGCCTGTTGTTGCAAAGAATTATAATTACTTGAGAGGTCACCAAATACATTATCTCACAGAGACATTTAAAGCATGTTTGTTCAACCTGTTCTCTCACCTCTATGCTCTAGATTTGAATAAGCAAAATCAGTCTTAAACAGAAGTCGTTAGCTTTTGGATATTCAGAGAACTCAAGTTAATTTTAATATCTTTGCTTCAATTCAACTACCATGAAGTAAAAGGCATCTGTAATATATACATGAGGTCACATACACTTGGGAAAGGTAAATGATAAATGAGCCAATGGTCAGATAAATTGAAACTAGAGAGTTGTGATCATATTTAAAAATTGAAAAATTAATCTAAGTTTAAGAAAAGAATCCGTATCATCAACATCATCGATTTTCCACCAATAATATCCCATTATTTATTGGGGTGGGTGAAGAAAAAATGTAGTTTTATTTCCATGTTCTGTTTTAATTCTTTTTTATGTGTTTCTAACAGGACATTAAGATAGTGTCGAAGTCTCTTCAGACTGCCTAGTCTTTAGTTTCTCTCTTTTCTGTACCGTAGGTCCTGTCAATCTCATTATCTTTCTGTCATTTTAAGGTATCTCGCTGGTGGCTCTTGTTGTCCCTGTTTCCGTTGGGATGGTTGTTAATCACAAGTGGCCCCAAAAAGCCAAGATCATACTTAAGGTAAGTATTGCATGCCAAAAGTTGCACAGTTAAATATTACAGAATGAAAATTGAAATTATATAATCTTTCCATCTACTACGTTTTTGTTCTCATCATATGTATGATGGCCAATAGTGGGGCCTGACATTACGTATTAGGCACACAGGCCATTCTTCTAGAATATGATCCCATCCATCGGGCAAAATTCAGTCTAAACTTGAGACGACCAATTCAACCATCATCTCTCACTTTTACTCTATACTATGCCTCCCCAGAGATTTGTTAGGCCTATTACTAAAAGAAAGACTTGACATTCCAAAAACTCACAATCATTGAAATTCCTTCCCAAAGTATCTAAGTTCGATGTTCTAGTCTGAAGCACACAGCCCTTGAGTCAATTCTGACCTATCGTGTCTCTATAAGACAAAGGAGAACTGCTCCCTAGGGTTTCTGCTGCTGAGACACTCGGGGGTTTGAGTCACAGTCCAATGCATGTGCTGCCAAAGTCCATTCTCTCTCTCTCTCTCTCTCTCTCTCTCTCTCTCT